TATTTCATTATAAAATTTGTTTATTAACATATTATATATGTATAAATACATTTTTTTTTAATTTTAGGATAAATTAATTACATCATCAATTCATTTTACTACACCTTACAAAGTTAAGGATCCTATTATCTTACTTGAGAAGTGTGATAAAATATGGGAGACATTAAAATTAATAAAAACTGTACAAAATGATAAAAGCAGTAATACATTGAAATCATTATCAGTGGAGAATACAAATGCAAAATCATACATTAAGTACCAACCAGTATTAAGTAATAACAATGCTGCATTACCAAACTTCAAATTGTCTGTAAAAAGTACCAGAAAATTATATCCTTGTGTTACTTGTGGAAAAATATATTTTGAAAGACGAAGGTTAGGCCATCATTCAGAAAAAATACATGGTATTTTAATAGCAACTTTAAGAAGTAAAAAGTCTATTACACATAAAAACAGTATTGATACAGAAAAAGAATCTAGTACCAGTAAAACAGAACAAAACTCTCTTAAAAAATTTAATGTAAAAAAAAATCAATGTAAACAAGTTAAAGATTCTTCATCGCATTCTGTGACATCACGTGTGACTGAATCTAATAGTGGTAATACTTCAAATTTTCAGTCACAAGCAAGAAAGAAAGATAATGTAATTAACACTAAAGACAGTTTAACAGATAAAGGAAATGTACGAAAGGACCAAAAGAAAGGAGTATCACATAAAGAATTAACTCAAAATAGAACATCAGTGTCATTACATGATGAATCATCTTCACAGCAGCAGTGTATTCTGTGTAAAAAGTTCGTAAAAGATGTAAGGAAACATTTAGTTGATTACCATAAAATTGACTGTTCTGGTCCTATGTTAAAAGAACTGGAAAAATCTTCAGCTATGTTAACAGATAACAAGGTGAAAAGAGATAATGTTAATAATAAATACTTAGAAAGTAGCCTTAATACAAATGATAAGCAGCAGTTCCAAAAAAATGGAAAGCGAAAATTGAATTTATCAGAAACAGTTCATAAAAAGAGATATAAAATTAATGGTAATAATTATCAAGAAACAAAATTTTTACAGAGCAGTAAATTCTTATGTGAAATTTGTTTAGAACTTTGTAGACCTAATAGTTTTAGGAAACATGTAACTGCGCATCATATGCGTGGTGAAACAAAAGAAAATTTTCAGTTAATGAATTGTAACTACTTCAATTCTTCACTATCCAGCAAACAAAATATTAATGAAAAACAAAAATGTTCATCTCTTGAAAATACTAATGCTTGCAAAGACAGAAATGTAAATGGTTCAATTAATTTATTGAAAGATAAGAAAATAAATGAGCAAAAATTTAAAAACAGAAGAGAATTTTATATGAGGAGTAAATCTAAACATGATACTACTTGTTTTTGTGGAAGACAATTTCGTGATCCTTATACATTATATTTACATAAAAGCAAATGTTACTTAGTAACTGGTGAAACAGAACAGCATACTACAAAAAATAAGAGAGAAACAGTTCCAAATGTTACAGGAAGTGACACTGACAGAGATTCAAGATTTGGAATTAGCATAAAAATAAAGAGAAGAAATGATTCTTCCTATGAGATTGTTCGTAGAGAATCAGACAATGGAAAAAGTTTGCAGGATTCTACATGTTCAAGAGATACAGAATTAGCATCAAATTCTATTGAAAATATTGCTGTTACAGATCAACAGGAACAGCAATATGAAATTACAGAATCATCTAAATATAGTGAAAATCACAGTTTTTTGAAAATTCAACATGTTGATGAAGATATGGATATTGATATTGAAGGTGATTCGCAAAATGGTTCCATTATTAGTAATATTACTAATAAACATCCGACAAGTGAAATAATAAACGATTCTCACGAGAAGCAGCAAGAGAATGAAACAAAAACAAAAGATACAAGGTCGAGTCAAATAATTTCTGATGTAAAAAATTCACTCAAAAAAGTTCTTCAAACACAAAAATGTGAAAAGTATGATAATGTTGAATCAGATACAAGTGTTAAACATAATCTTTGTATTTGTGGAACTTTGTTTGATACTAAGAAAGCTCTTGATTTCCATATTATGAAACATCAATTACGTTCACAATTAGTATGTGGTTATTGTAATGAAAAGTTTAGTGATATCACTAAATGGAAGGCTCATCAATGTACTGTTACAAAATTTAAGATATTTCATGATGTACCTGTAGAATTAGATTGTCATTATTGTAATGCAACATTAAATTCTTATACAAAATTTGATGCCCATATGAAGCTTCAACATTTTGATCCTGTACTACCATTTGAATGTTTTCATTGTGAAAAACGCTTTTCTAGTTCTACAATTCGAAGAAATCATATCAAGGCAGAACATGAAAAAATTGTTTGTTTTATATGTAAAATGGAATATCTTCATAATATGAAAACCAGACATGAAGGATATCATTATGGTCTTGGATATCCTTGTCACATGTGTAAAAAAACCTATTCTTCTAGTTATATTTTATCAAAACATATAAAAAATATTCATCCTAAACAGTTTAAGATGATGTAATATGTAGTTTTTGTCACTCATCATTTATTAATGAGACACCTTGAAAGCATAAATCGTTTAATTTAAGAAAAGTATGTACCTAATAAAATCGGTTATAATGATAGTTTTAATCTTTTTATGTTTTTCCA